ATCCAACCTATCCCCTGCACCTGACTTCCCTACAACAGTGCAACCAGTGGGTCTGCTTAGTTTCAGATCAAAACCACATTCTTGAGACAAAGCTTGCCATGTGCTTCCAATTTGAACTATTCCATCACCATCTGCACTTTTGTTCGTTGTGACTCTGGGCATTTACCCAACCGCCCAAGATTACTCATGGCCAGCAATGGTTTTCAGCTTTAGTTCATGCCATCTGGCCGTCTTTGAACTAGTCGGACCTCATGTCCATTGTTCCTCACAAGTTGGGAGAGAAACCTATTATTACTATTTCATCGAATATTCCCCACTGTTTATTACATTGTCCTGTTCTTGTACAATCCGCACTCACACAAATCTCCCAATCGTGTTCCATTCTGACTGTAAACCCATGATCATGCCAGGCGGTATGACACCCACAAGTTGTGAATAAACATTGTTATTATTAGTATTATTATTATCATCATTAGCTGACCTGATCTTACCAAGGTGACTGCAAGTCTCCTGGCACGCTTCGCCCAGGTGCTCCAGTCAGCCATCCAAGGCTCACTGTGATACGTCCAGCATTCATGGTAATAGCGGTGCATACCTTATTCATTTACTTCCCCACAATATACCATTTGATTGGACCGGGAGGGCTAAATTTATACATGGAAGTCGCTTCCACAAGCCCATTATTCTTCGCAATAGACAACCAGTGGTCATAGTGTGTGTAAGGCCTCTTGGCTACCCCGCAGATCACAAACGGGTTTGACCAAGATCTGTATCCTATCGTGTAGTGCACAAACAACATAAAATATTAGATCGATTCCGTTGTTTTTCCTCACATTGTCACGGATTTTCGTGGACGAATCCAAACAACTCGACAAACCAGAAATCACTTTCCCCCACTTCTCATCGAAACTGTGATTACTCGCGTACGCTTGCTAGTCTGATATTTACAGATAACAAGAATCTTGTATGGTGGATATGACTATGAACATAGGTGCATTGGGTCAATCTGGGGACAGAGGCAGACACGTTTGTTAGCAGTGTGGTTAGTGTGTCCGTTGGTGCACATACTTGTACACCAAGAGCGTGTGACCGACAGATCGCGAAAGCACCTTCTTTTCATAGGTGGACGCCGATAATACACGTCAGAGAAAGTGACATCTTTTTCACCCGCTGGGATTCCGCAGTTTGGGCCCAAATTCCATCACCAGGTAAGTAGACCGGCATCCGCCTTCGCATCTTGCGCTCAACCGCTGATACACGCTATAGGCCGGTAGCACAATAGATGAAGATCAGAGCTTGCTTGATAACATGTTCGGGTACGAAGTACTTGGCTTATGTATAATAAGCGTCGCTGATGCTTTGGTCGCAGTTGCAGAAAATAAGATTTTATCATCACGAACAACATGGGACAAATAACATGGTGGATCGGCAGATGGGCTCAGCACCATTTCACAGATATCTGGACCGAAAGAGGACGGAGCGAATAATGAATTACTGCAGCATCTCATCGACTCAACTAAAATCTTGGCATGGCCTTGAAATCGTTCCAGCCTGACCAAGAGTGCAGGCAGCACACACCGTAGCCAATCATCCAGCAGACTTGACAGCCTTGACCCAAGGTCAAATGCGCACTTTAAATGCCGTGGCGTCCCTTAATTTCCCGGCCTTTTGGGCCTGTTCGGTGGGCTTTTTCCTCGTTAGTGGGATTCTGAGGGCGCGACTTGCAGTCATTTACAAGAGGCCGGGTACACCCTAACCTAACTAAAGAATAGTAACTGCCGGAACGTTGAAAGAAATTCCACTACGAAAGCACTGAACCAGAACTGGTCAGTCCTGTTACGAAAATTCCTGCACCGACCGAAGTCCGCGCCAGCTTTTAGCCGATCGCGAACGACATCACGAAATTTCACCGTAAACATCGTGTATGACTCACGGATTCAAAGATCCGAGGATTTTGCCCAAGTTTCCAGGGTTGGTTTTGTTCTTGTCGATCAGCGGCTGTCGTTCAACTAAAAGGCACTAGCGAAAATTGTGTAGTACTGCTCTTAAGGTTTTCAACAAGGGGACGTATGCTTTCCAGCACGAGGACTCACATAAAAGTGTCTAATAGTGGATGCTGTGAACTGGGCTCTAAAAGGAGCGTGTACAACCGTCGGAGTCAGTTTATTCCACGCAGCTACTACCCGAAATGAGAAAAAATTTTGCCTTATGAAAGTGTGCGCCCTGAGTTTGGAGACCTTACCATATCCCCGCCGTGTGTTTGCTGGGTCAATGGTGGAAAACCTGTTGGTCAAGCCTTCCTCAAACAGGGCATAAGTGAGAATTAGGTCCCCTCGGAGGCGACGAAGCTCGATGGGAAAGAGGTCAAGCACCGCAAGAGGTGTCACGCAATCCACGGATTTAAGACCAGCAACCATTTTCGTACCGGCTCGCTGGACATGCTCAATGAGGGTTACGCTCTTGTTGCGTCCTGGGTAGACAACTTGGTTGGCATATACAATAACTGGTTTGGTGTAGGGCCCATAGAGTATTTGGAAGTCCATGCGAGTAATACAGGTGAGTGTGCGCCGAATCATCCCTTTGAACCGATTTCACTTGGTGCAGAGAGAAGGACAAGTTTGAAGAGAGCTAGATACCTAGATCCTTTTCGGCATCTATCTCCGCGATGTCTTCTGTTCCTTTCACCATGCATGACATAGGTGTTCGCTGAGTCTCCTCCGAATGACATGGACGCACTTTTTGTCATTCAGAGGAAGGTGCCAATCCAACGACCACTGCTTTACAGGGCCTACATCCATTTGGATGGCACTGGCATCGGAACTCAAAGATTTCAAGTCGTCCGCAAAACGTAGACATGAACTTGAAAGAACGTCCTGAAGGTTGTTGAGGCATACCAGAAACAGCTGTGGTCCCAGAACGGAGCCTTGAGAAACTCTAATGGAGACCGGCGCTGGAGAAGAGTAGGTCGAGTCTTATTTCACTCGGGATGTTCTGTCTGATAGAAAGCCTTGATACAGAGTAGGGTTTTCCCTTGAATACCGTAAGACTCAAATTTGTGGAGAAGCAGGACGTGTGGGACTCGATCGAATACTTCTGAGAAGCCGAAAGATATGGCATCCGATATGAGTCCCTCGTCTT